CTCTTTCTGCCTTGCCACAGGCCCAAAAGCAATGGAGCCAACTGACCACAGACAGAATCCCCCAAAACCATGAGCCCAAATGAATCTTTCCTCCTCTTACGATGCTTTCTGAGATTCTTTTTTTTTTTTTTTGTCTAAGTGATGAAAAACTAATGCAACCCCCTTTGTCTAACTCGGGCAAACAACAACCTTGGTTTGATTTCCTCATCACCAAAAACGAGACCGCCCATCAACCCGGTGGCTCTACGGTCCTTGCCTGGCATCGGCCTGATACCACGTCACAGACATAGAAGTAGAAGACCTCTGTGGCCATCCGAGGAACTTAATTATCTTTGCCTGTTATGTATCCTGCTCCTTCCAACCTGATTACCAAATGCTAAAGAGCTGGAAGGAGGCCTCGTGGCAAGAGCACCGTAAGGCCGGGAGGGATGAGCCCAGGGCCTGGTGAGTCAGGTCTCACATGCTGTAATGGAAAGTTCACAAAGGTCTCAAGGAAATGACAAGACTAGATATCCATTCTGAAAATAATACCCTGAGCTAAGTGCTGGTGGCTTATGGCTGTAATCCTAGTCACTTAGGAGACAGAGATCTGGAAGACAGTGGTTTGAAGCCAACCCAGGTAGAAAATTTGCTTAATCCCATCTCCAAAATAACCAGCAAAAAAAGCAGGGCTGGAGTGGTAGACTGCCAGCCTACCAAACAGAGAGGACCTAGGTTCAAACCCCAGTACTATCCCCCACCAAATACAGCTGAAGTGGCAATATGGAGACCAAAGGGTCAGGGGCTTGGAGTAGGCAGAGCAGATGACCAGCAAAGGAAGTAACAAGGGAACAATAGGGGTGCCTGGGAAGGAGGGGCTGGTGAGAATGGAGCGGAGCCAGGGGGTAGGTGGAGACCCCAGGGCTCCACAGCCTCAGGCACTGGACTCGGCTGTCTCAGGGAGTCGAGGGCTCAACTTTCCTAGTCCTCATTTCCCATACTGTCCCTCCTGTTCCTTCACTGTTAAGTGTTGAGGAGAGTCGGTGGTTCAGATGAACTACCCGGGACAGACTCCCAGCTGGAGGGCATCCCAGCTCCAAGGTCCTGGTGAGAGGCTGCCCTCCCTCCTGACACCCAGGCTGACTCAGGATGGTCATGGCTGGACAGCTGGCAACCTCTGAGATGCCAGGGGCAGGGGGCCAGGCAGGCTCAGACGGTCCTAGCTGTCCAAGGAGCCGCGCCCATCCCATCATGGGGATGAAGGGCTGAGCACCACGCAGGGAGCAGAGCCTCCTGCAAACCTGAGCCCCTTTCATGTCTGCTGCTTCCTCTCCAGGCAGGGCCGGGGTGGGACGCTCAGCAGGCGCTCACCTCCTCTCCTGGGCTGGGATGGTCAGCGGGCGCTCAACTCCTCTCCTGGGCTGGGACGCTCAGCAGGCGCTCGCTCACCTCCTCTCCTGGGCTGGGATGGTCAGCGGGCGCTCAACTCCTCTGCTGGGCTGGGACGCTCAGCGGGCGCTCACCTCCTCTCCTAGGCTGGGATGGTCAGCAGGCGCTCACCTCCTCTGCTGGGCTGGGACGCTCAGCGGGCGCTCACCTCCTCTCCTGGGCTGGGACGCTCGGCGGGCGCTCACCGCCTCTGCTGGGCTGGGATGGGCGCTCACCGCCTCTGCTGGGGTGGGATGGTCGGCGGGCGCTCACCTCCTCTGCTGGGCTGGGACGCTCAGCGGGCGCTCACCGCCTCTGCTGGGCTGGGCTGGTCGGCGGGCGCTCACCTCCTCTCCTGGGCTGGGACGCTCGGCGGGCGCTCACCTCCTCTGCTGGGCTGGGATGATCAGCAGGGTCTCACCTCCTCTGCTGGGCTGGGACGCTCAGCGGGCGCTCACCTCCTCTCCTGGGCTGGGACGCTCAGCGGGCGCTCACCTCCTCTCCTGGGCTGGGACGCTCAGCGGGCGCTCACCTCCTCTGCTGGGCTGGGCTGGTCAGCGGGCGCTCACCTCCTCTGCTGGGCTGGGCTGGTCAGCGGGCGCTCACCTCCTCTGCTAGGCTGGGACGCTCAGCGGGCGCTCACCTCCTCTGCTGGGCTGGGATGGTCAGCAGGGTCTCACCTCCTCTGCTGGGCTGGGATGGTCAGCGGGCGCTCACCTCCTCTGCTGGGCTGGGCTGGTCAGCGGGCGCTCACCGCCTCTGCTGGGCTGGGCTGGTCAGCGGGCGCTCACCGCCTCTGCTGGGCTGGGCTGGTCAGCGGGCGCTCACCGCCTCTCCAGGGCCGCCCTCTCACCGCAGGCCGCACATTCAGGGCCTACAGCAGGGCCAGGGCGGGGCAGGGCTCCCCGCAGGCCCCGGCATCACCAGACTCCAGACTGGCGGCGAGGACGAGGCGTGCCGGGTGCACAGGAGGGCTTCCGGGCAGCGAGGCTGTCACCGGGCAGCCACGGGACCTCCACGCTGGACACTCCCAGAAGTGAGTGCGGTGCGGCCTAGCAACACCAAACCGGTGCAGGTGCGGTTCCGCCGGAGTCCAGATCCGGGAAGAGGAGGAGCCAGCGAGGGGGCGGGGTCACACGGAGCCAACCAACGGACGCCCTGTGGCTGACGGTGGGCGGGGCCAACGGGTAGAGCCGAGCAAGGCGATTGGCGCCTGGCTGGCAGGGATGGGCGGGGCCTAAGGAAAGCGCGAAGTGATTGGCGGAGCCTTGCTCCGGAGCCGGGCTGTGTGGCGGAGGCCGGCGGGCCGAGACTGGGAGCCGGGAGAGCTTAGGACCTGCTGCCTGGTGCTTGTGGGCCGTGCCTCCCCAGACCCAAAGGGAGCGGGCTGCAGACGCCCCGCGCAGCCTCAGGGAGGGGCGGGAGGTGTGTGCGGGGAGGGGGGAAGGGACTCAGGGTCCTGAGCCCAGGGGGGTCGCGGGCCTGAGGGCGGAGGAGCTTGACCCGGACCTCCGGAAATGGGACCACAAGGCAACGGGCGGCCGTCTTCCCACCTGGTGAATTCGTCGAGTTGATTCGTGCCTGCGGGAGGGGTCGGTTCGAGCATGGCCTGTCTCAGGTATGGAAAACAAATTAAAGCGGCTCTGGACGGGGGGTGGGGGCAGCAGCTGCCAGGACTGGTCCCGGCCTCCACCAGGAGCTTCTGGCCAGGGCCTGGCCCAGAGGCCATAAGCAACGTCCCCTGTCACCACCCACAGCGATTTCCACAGCTGGAATAGCTTTGATCTTCTCACTTGGCTGACAGGTTTGATGGAACAGGGAAGGCCACGTGTACTCACACCTTCCACGCAGCTGTAGAAGGCAGCATGTACTCACACCTTCCACGCTGCTGTAGAAGGCAGCGTGTACTCACACCTTCCACACAGCTGTAGGCCACATGTACTCACACCTTCCACGCAGCTGTAGAAGGCAGCGTGTACTCACACCTTCCACACAGCTGTAGGCCACGTGTACTCACACCTTCCAGGCCGCTGTAGAAGGCAGCGTGTACTCACACCTTCCACACAGCTGTAGGCCACGTGTACTCACACCTTCCATGCCGCTGTAGAAGGCAGCGTGTACTCACACCATCCACGCTGCTGTAGAAAGTAATGTGTATTCACACTATCTACACAGCTATAGAAAGGAACATGTACTTTTACCTTCCACGCCGCTGTAGAAGCTCACATGTACTCACCCATCCACACCGCTGTAATTCACTCACCCAGTCCTTAGGTAACAGCAGAGACTGGGAAATGTGGTCCCGCAGGCCTCCTCACCAGACGTGCTGTCATGTATCACAGAATATATGCTGTGCAACATGATGTGACTAGGTCCTTGCAGATGGAAAGTGGTTGGATCTGGAGTACATGCCATTTTGGCCGTAGAAAAGTTTGGGATTGCTGATGGGTAGATGTGTGTGTGGGGATCAGGGACAAAAGAAACTGAAGATGAGACCTGAATGTTCTGCTTGGGTATCCTAGGGGTTAGTGATTCCCAATATTGGACAGGGCAGAAAGGACAGGAAAAGAACATCTGGCTTGAGGGAAAGATCCTAATGAATTGTTAGATGTGTATGTGGACAGGTGTGCATGCAGAGGAGAGCATGGGGAAGTAGACAGGCATCTGTGAGATATTAACTAGTACTGGACAATGTCTAGTGCATTTAGATAGGTCCGTGGTGAGAGGAGAGGACGGGGAAGGAGACAGACATGTGGGAGACCCAGTCAAGGCACAATGCTTAGTGCTGTGAGACTGAGTGAGCCAATAGGCAGAAGACGCAGGTCAGGAGTGTGGGGAGGTCCGTGGTGTGAGCACTGAGCACATGCTATTTAGAGATGGGGCTGAGAGGAGGCCTATGAAGGAGAAAGAATGACTGTAGTCAGCTAAGGAGATGGGAAACAAGGTAAATGTGATTCTGTGGGTTTCCGAGAGGAAATTATTTAAAAATTGGGCTCCTCTTGTACTGAATAGTAAGAAAAAGAAAAAAAAGACCAGAAGTTGAGCAAGTGTGGATCTTGATGACATCATGGTTGCTGTAAGGGTAAGTTGTTTACTGCTTGCCTCTGCTTCCTAAGAGATGGAAGCCACTTGTCACTTGAATAAGATTGTGCCAGATGTTGGTGCTTGTGACTTCAAGGATATTGATATCTTACTTTCTGCGCCCTGTACCAAACGCAGTAAAGACTGTGACCGTGGGGCCTGAGTGTGAAGCTGGTAGAAGGCTACAGGTTCCCTGGTATCCCAACCCTCAGTTCCACAGTCTGGCCTCTGTTACTGCCCTGTCCCCAGTCGTAGTGGGTTGTGACAAGAAATCATATCTGTCTCCATATTTTATTTTTTATTTAACGATATGGGATGTATCTATGATTTTTCACTCCGAAGCTGGTATATTGACTCAGGAACCTGATCTTTGACAGAATACTCAAGCAGTTGCTCCCTTCCTACAAGGATTTCAAAAAGTTAGTTATGCGTTTTCCTGTGCTGATGAACACCAGAGGACCATAACCATTGGCACCGTCATCTGGATGCCACGATGAATTGCCACCTAATTCTCAAGGAGGAGACAACACTGTCCAACAGGTACATAGCACAAAGACGCTCGTGAATGACAGAATGGTCCGGTGGCCCCTTGCTCTGGGGATGCTCTTGGAGAAAGGCTGGTGCGGTGAAGATGCTGGCACCGCCTCTTGTGCCTGCACAGGAGAGTCACCATGTACCCACTGGGGAGGCCCGGGAGCCCCGTAAGAGACATGTCCCGGAATGTGACCAGTGTAGACAGTAAGGACTTGAGGGAACTGTTCAAAGTCTGTAGAGAACAGGATTTGGTGACAGAGACAATATTGTGTGAAGTCACATTGGGGGTAGCAACAATGGAGACTAAGAAGTGGCCACTAATGGAAATATAGAAGACCCAAAGGAGAAGAAAGCAACATATGCTGTGGTATGGAGATTTATCTTTGAGCTTTGCCAGACAGGAGTTTCTGGGGCTGCGGGTGATGGCCTGGGGGACACTCAGCAGGCAGCTGGCACAGATGGACAGGCTCCTCATCAGCCTGTACAGGTAGATGACTGGTTTACATGTGTCCTTGTCCCCAAAACCTTGGAGCCGCAAGGTATCTGTGGCCATCAAGGCCATGGTGAGCAACAGCACAAGGATCAGGTCCGTGGGCTTGGGCCTGTGCTCCAGAAAGAATGTGAGGATGTGGAAGAGAAGAAGCATGGTGTTGGCCAAGATTCCAACGATAACTTCAGAGAAAAGGGCATTTCTGATATCATTATTGTATAGATTGTTGTTTAAATTCATCTTATGGGGGAATCATACAATGAGTGCCTGAGACTAAAGGAAGACCAATGTAGGCATCTCAACCAGCATGATTGGGTCAATTACAGTGCACCTTGTTTCTGTCCTTCAGCAGTCAGGTCTGTCGGGTCCGCCCTGGGAAGCAGCACAGACTCCTCCCTCCTTCCAGTACCTGTGTCACCTAGGTAACTGGCACACCTGGAGGCACAGCCCCTCCTCCAAGATCACACCTCTCACCTCCCACTGGAGGGTCCCAGGCCCTGTGTGGCCATACCTTCTCCCTGCCCCTTCTCTACTTAAATCCAGCTGGGACCTCAGCTCACCCCTTCCAGCTACATGCTCTCCACCATGCGCAGGTTGGTAATAAAAGTAGCTTCTCTTCTTGCCTGAATACTGGTGGTGGTCTCTTCCTCAGCTACCTAGTTAAACCTACCTCTTTAATTTACCTAAGTTCTACCTCACATTCGCAGATGCTCCCCTCTGCCTTCCTCCATCACTTCCTAGTCATGGCTGGAGTGTGCCTCCCACTGCTGGGGTCCTGCAGAGTCCATGCTTTATTGAGCTAAGAAACAACCTCCCATCACACAAAGTGTGTTCGTGTCACCGCCGCGTTTTCATGTTTTCCAGGGTGAGAGTAGCTCTATCTCCATCTTTGACAGTGGGGGCCCTACAGATTGTGTGAATGACAAGGAAGGTGTGAAGGTGAGCGTGGTGGCTCACGCCTGTGAGCTCAGCTACTTGAGAGGCACGAGCTTGGGAAGACTGTGGGTGGAGCCAGTCTGGGCAAAAATATTTTGAGACAACTCCAACTCAACCAATAAGTTGGAGGTGGTGGTACATGATATCATTCCGGCTAATTTGAGGCCTTAGGTAGGATCATGGTCAAGAGGATGGCCTTGGGCAAAAACATGAGATTCTATGTGAAAAATCATGAAAACATTCCTGAAAATGTAGTGGGGGTGTGGCTCAAGTGGTATAGCACCTGCCTGGCAAGTGCAAGGCCCTGTGTTCAACCCCAGCACTACAAAAGAAATGTGGAAACGAGGGAGCCTCCAAGTAAAGAATCTCAGCAATTCAGACACACAGTTATGTTATCCCAGTACTACTTTATTCTGACTAGCTGATCGTCCAGTCTCAATGTGTGAACAGAGCGAGGGCCAGATTTCTGTCTGAATTTAAATCGAGGCTCTGCCACTGACTCCGAGGGTAATCTGGGCTCAGCCGTCCTATCTTGTCATATTTTAAATACAGTGCATGCGCTGTAGAAGCATCGATGTATTTCTGGCACACAATGATTTATAGAGATGTTGGCTGCCGTGTTTATTTATGCAGTGTTTTGTACATATGGCTGGACACGCAATTCTTTTTTTTTGGTCTGTTGTGGGCTTGAACTCTGGGCCTGGGCGCTGTCCCTCAGCTCTTCAGCTTAAGGCTAGTACTCCACTACTTGAGCCACAGCGCCACTTCCAGTTTTCTGAGTGGTTTATTGGAGATAAGAGTCTCGAGTTGACTTTGAACCATGATCCTCAGATCTCAGCCTCCTGAGTAGCTAGGGTTACAGGCATGAGCCACTGTTGCCCATCTAACGCGGTTCTTTTAATATTTAAACAATTCCACCTCCACCAAAAGACAGAAAGAGAAACAACCCTCTTATCACAGTTGATCTGGCAGTACAGAAGACTGGCCTTATGCTTGTCATGCAAGGTGTCTACCACTTGAGCCACTCTGCCAGCCCTAAGGAGCAGGTTTGTGTTAAGAAACATTGGTGTGAGCTAGGTGCCAGTGGCTCATACCTGTAATCCTAGCTACTCAGGAGGCTGAGATCTGAGGATCGTGGTTCAAAGCCAGCCTAGGCAGGAAAGTCCTTGAGACTCTTATCTCCAATAAACCATTAGAAAACTGGAAGTGGCGCTATAGCTTAAGCAGTAGAGTGCTCGCCTTGAGTTGAAGAGCTGAGGGACAGCGCCCAAGCCCAGAGTTCAAGCCCCATGACCGACCAAAAACAACAACAACAAAAAAGAAACATTGGTGTGGATGTCTAACTTAGGTAGAGGGCACTGCAGAGAAGACCCTCTAAGAAAGCACCTCATTTTTTGAGACAGAGTCTCACTAGCCCAGGCTGGCCTAGAACTGGAGATTCTCCTGCTCTGCCTTCTCAGTTTGGGACCACAGGCCTGCACCACCACATTCAGCATAGGTTTAAGTATGTGTTGACTTCTCAAGGTAGGACCACATGTCAGATGTGCTTCCCCACGCCCCGTACGGGGGTTTGAACTCAGAACCTTGTGCTTGCCTGTGCTTGCTCAGCTGGCACTCTACCACTTGAGCCAGGTCCCCCGTCCCACACCGTGTTTCAAAACCATCATGTCATCACAAGCAGCCCCTGTGAGGAGAGTCCAGTATGTATTTAAAAAATATCACCTGAAAATTAAAGGTGCAAGGGTATATTATTTCCTGGCTTTTTACACCATGTATTTTTTTCTTTTGGTGCCAGTCATAAGGCTTCAACTCAGGGCCTGGGCGTTGTCGCTCAGCTCTTTTGCTCAAAGCTAGTGCTCTACCACTTGAGTCACAACTCCACTTTAAGTGCTTTGGTAACTCATTGGAGATGAGCCTCATGGATTCTCCTGATTCTATGTGGCAACCTCCTGAGTAGGATTACAGGCGCGAGCCATGAGTGCCTCGCTTATACCATGTAATCTTATAAGACACTAGTGGAAAGCAAAACTGTTGAAGATTTGTGAACAGGAGATAGCACTTAAAAGCTGGGCGCCAGTGGCTCATACCTGTGATCCCTAGCTACTCAGGAGGCTGAGATCTGAGGCTCGTGATTCCAACCCAGGCAGGAAAGTCCATGAGACTCTTACCTCCAGTAAACTACTCAGAAAAGGTGAAAGTGGTGTTGTGGCTCAAGTGGTAGAGCCTTGAGCTCAAAGAGGCTCAGGACAGCGCCCAGACTCTGAGTTTAAGCCCTAGGACTAGCAAAAGAAAAAAAAGAAAGCAAGCAAAAAAAAAAAAAAAAAAAAAAGACATGTAACATTTAAAATTCAAAACTGAAACAGATACTTGGTTAAAATACTGGAAAATGTGAATTATCTAAATTAAGATTTTTATAACATTTACAGAGCGTATCTTTTTCTCAAAATCCTGATCAAATACACCAACGTGTTTCTCCATTCCTACACTTGGCCAAGTTTAGTTTGCTGCCATGATAAAGTCAAGATTTAGTACACAATACTAATTCAAGGTTCACTGTTCCCAAACAACCCAGAACCCTGGTATTCTGTAATGCTCTTGTACCTGAAAATACAATACGCCTGTTTCACATAAAAATTTTACACATGTAGAGTTTTGAAAGAATAATTTGAAGTATTACATATGTGTACACACACACACACACACACACACACTCACAGGCTGTGCTGGACATCCAACACCAGGCCTATGTATATTAGGGAAACACTAATACTAAGCTACATTCTCAGCCTGCTACATCATAACATTTACTAACCAAGTTGAATAATAGTTGTCAGTTCTGAGTGATACAGATTTGGCTTTAGTTCAAGTTAAACCTGAACAGCATGCGCTTTCCAAAGACAGCACTGCAACTCTCTGCAAGTGGCCCATTTTAACCATCTCTGAAGTGGGGTTTTAGCCTACACGATCTTCAGCGTTACTTGAAGGGATACGTGTTAAAACTGCAGATGCTTTGAGAAAACTCATGGGCAGATGTCATGAAGTTGGCCCAGTGTTTAGGAATTCATGGCTTAGGTGGAGCATTGTTTAAAAATCCCTGGTAAAATCCTCTTTGGTAAAGAAAAAACAATACCAGGAGCATAAAACTTAGCATCCTTCTGAAGAGCACTACTCAAGGCAATCGACGCATTCATAAATATTCACTTGTATTAGCACCTGTGGAGCACCAGGAGAGACACGGAAACCATGACCTTAGTCATGCACTAAAATCCACAATGTATGAACCGCATAGAACAGTATCAATGAAACAAATATGACAAATAGAAAGCTGTGTGGCTGCTTCTATGGGAACATGTTATTAGGAAACAGCTTGTGGAGGATGGAACCCTTCATACACACAGGCTGAGGGACATCCTGCTAGAACCTTCTCTCCCCCAGTTCCCCATCCTGCTCACAGCTGCCGAGTGCAGCTCCCTCGCGCTCAGGATGACCTGGGAGGCCCTTCTCCAGGGCGGCTCTCAGAACTGTGGGTGCACAGGCGACGCTGGCTCACCTCGTGCCCCAAGCACGGTCACACTGAACACGTGGGAGCAACAGACTTGCCACAGGCATCATGGGAAAGTGACACGGAATTCTGGAACAAGTGGCCTTTGGAAAGGCAAAATGGGCAGGCAAGGAAACACCACACACTGAGCATTCTACTCAAGGCAGGAGACAACACAGTGAAGGCTTCTTGATTATGGGATCCAGGAAACAAGCACCTCTGTGGCCTGTGTTCTGCAAGTTCCCACCTGGTGGGCAATCCTGTGACAAAGGCATAGCACAGAATAGCAAGGAGACCGCTGCACGCAAACACGGAGAGAAGAGGAGAGAAGTAGGGAGTCCAGGCGAAGGAAGCTCCTCCGCAGACCCTGGCGAGTGCGGACACCTGGCCAGCGGCAGGCGGTCAGATCACAGAGGCAAGCGTGGGAAGGACAAGTAACACACGGAGAAAATAATAGGCGCCCACGTTCGTTCTCCACAGCCCTTGGAAATTATATTCCCGGCTACTCGAGCCAGGGTGGGAAACTGTCGCAGTGGCTTGTGCAATTGTATTTAGTGCTGCCCCACCTCCCACTCCCTCCACACTCCCGTCACACCCCTCTTCTGGGGCAGCGTGTGACTAACACCATCAACCGGTCACTCCAGGCAGTGAACTGGGACAGGGCAGGTCTCCTGAGAACATTCTAGCAGATACTTTGTAATTCTGCTCTTGTCATGACCCCCATTTCCTCTTAAATCATCTACCACGACTGCTCTAAGCTTCTCTATAGATGTCATTCACACCAATAATGGCTCAATCCTATTTATACAGATGAAAGAGGCAAAACTGAACATATTTCATAAACATGTGAAATGGAAAGAGCTTACCACCATTCTGCTAATATGCAGAATAAGCAAGGTTTAAAATCACGAAAATAGAAGGCACGTAACTTGCATATTGATATAGCTGGT